TTACTTACTTACTTACTTACTTACTTACTTACTTACTTACTTACTTACTTACTTACTTACTTACTTACTTACTTACTTACTTACTTCTTCTTCTTCTTCTTCTTCTTCTCTCTCTCTCTCTCTCTCTCTCTCTCTCTCTCTCTCTCTCTCTCTCTCTCTCTCTCTCTCTCTCTCTCTCTCTCTCTCTCTTCTCTCTCTCTCTATATATATATATGTGGAGAGAGAGAGAGAGGGAGAGGTGGAGTTGTAATCTGACTAGTAATCCCGGTCACACCTTCTAGAATGATCGCTATAAGGGCATGACCGGGATTACATAATAAGGGATCTGTTATGTGCTCCTGATGTATATGTATAAAATATACAAATGTTCATGGTATTATATTCACTTGTGATGTATTCGTATCAGAAGTGGACGAAAGGAATAAAATAATAACATATCGTAGATATAGAAACACGAGGTTTTACTAGATGATATATATATATTTACTGATCATGATATATTATTGCCTCTATCTCTATGATATTCACAGATAAAATACACGTGGATTATAGGATTTCTATAATGATACTATCTGTAAATACTATCTGTCTTTATGTTCATATATTTGCCTGAGTACCTAGTCTAATCATAGTTCTAATCATTAGACTCTAATGTATGCACTGGAAGCACATATTGTGGTTATGTCAAGTTCATTTTCCATTCGTCAAAAATGTATTTGTATAACGAAGTAGATAGTGGCGCCACTGTACAGTGCGTGACGCAAAAGATGGCATCCTTGAAAGGTTTGAGGTTTGGAAGTCATCTAAAAGAACTGAGAATACATCTTTGCCAGACAGCTGAGAGTAGTAAAGGCGTCAGGTAATGTGTGATTCTAATTTAAGGTGTTCTGCATATCTTAATTGGGTGCATATGCGACATTGCATCTATACTAGGTTTCGGCTTCTTGCGAATAGATGTTGTCTGTTGACAAATGTTGAATGCTAGGCCTATAAATATATTCACTGCTATATAAGTATATTTCACACACGCTAAGTCAGTTTTCTTATTAATTTACTCCCACCTACTCTATGTAACTAATTTTTATCAAATCGTAATAACCTAAGCTAAAACAACAACTACTCGAGTGCACTTCCAAGTTCCAGGCACCCACTGTGGCAGTGCTGCAAAAATGGTCATGGCGTTGTTCAAGAGGGAAAATTATGTGAGGGAAGCATTAATACTAATAGTAATACAATAGCCATTATGAAGCATGATAATTTATGATGAATACACCCTGTCCATGTAATCGATTTGTTGCACCATAGAAATTGTAACTGATGAAGCGCCATGACTGTTTACTGTGCGCGTGGGTGCGAATAGGTCGGGTCCGCTAATTAGAGAATGAAACGGAAACACTGCTGTTATTATTATCAGTATCGTTAGTTAACATTTCGGTTATGATTACACGTAGAGTTAGGGATTACAGTTTTCTTATACCTATTTATTTAATACTTCTCAGCGGGTTAGCACCATCTCCGGTGCCATTAAAGCCCTGTGCACTTTAGCATTGCATTAAGTTCGTTGGGAGTCATGAAGTGCACTAATTGTTTTTTTATGAATCAGAGCATGGATGTTTTTCATGCAAATACAAAATTAAAAATTAAAGACAGTTTCCCCATTTCGTCGTTGTTATTCGTACATTTAACCATATGTCTGTCAGATTCACATAATTGTTTGCTACGCACATAATTTGTAACATATTTAAATTAACATTTACTTGCTATTAACATATTTTGGTTTCTGTTATAATTGCAGGGATTTTGTAGAAAAGCTTTATGTACCTCTAAAGTTAAACAACCCAAAGTTTCCTATTCTTATAAGAGAGTGCAGTGGAATAGAGCCTAAAGTATGGGCCAGATTTGGTAAGTTATTGATGTAATACAAATAAGTATGCATGTTGGCAATACAAAAACAGATTATGTTATGTGAATTTTGGCAACGAATGTTGCAAGATGAACATCAACATGTAACACCTTGTAGGCTTGTAGTTGTATGCTATTGTCAGCCTGCATACTTAAAGGAACAGTAGCCTCTAGGTTCTAGGGTTATTTTCAGCTAATTTAGGTTATAATTGGCCCGCTACATTAAAAAAATTTCATGGTTCAATCACTCATTAGAAATATTTTAAAAATGTTTTAAAACTAAAGACTCAGTTTGATATACAACACGGTGGCGCCATCAAAAGCGCACGAGCTGAGAAGTTGCGCAAAACCCACTTTCCAGCAAGGGCTTACAGACAGGTATTTCTCTATTTATTCATTTAAAAGCAAAAGAGATTGCTAATATTCTTATAAACGACATATAGTTTCAGTTATATTATGGATACATTTGCCCTAAAATGAATATCGTTCCGGTTTAAATAGCATTCTACGGTATAAATATAATTCCACTTTTGATTAGCCCTCGGTCACGTTTACCGCCCAATAAAATCGCAAATTACGCAACTTTTCAGGGTGCAGCACGGTCGCGGGTGCATGGCGCCGTTCAAGTTTGAACTGTAGCGTTGATGTGTAAATAATTAAGTTAAGGATCTAGGTCAACAAATAACATGTGGGTTATAGACTATTTGTTATACAGAGTAAGTACAGTTGTATGCAGTAAAATCCTAGAGGCTACTGTCCCTTTAAACGATTTTCAAAAACGTGTTTAATGGGAAGCCATAAATTTGAATGTCCTATTTACTGATGAATGCCTATAATATAATTCTATAAACATGTGCAATAATACCAAGCATTTAAGAATAAAATCACCTACGTTGATTTACTAAGATCTGGACCCTAGCATGAAGATCACTCAGCTAGACTCAAAAAGAATATTTTCTAAGAAAAGCGAATTCCTTCTCACGAGTGAATAAAATTTGGTATATTTCGAGCATTTGGGTAGAGACAAACGAGACAGTATCCCTATTTACTGGCCGAGTAAAAACCTAAGTCCTACATGAAGGTGGCAGATTCTAGGCAGCAAGCCTGCGTAGTCGTTATCTGGTTTTATTAAAAGTGCAAGCACTGCTAGGTCTTTCGTAATACAATGTGTTGGTTAATTTAGGTTATTGCAATAAATCGCCTTCAACTAGAGATGCATTACAGCCTGTTAGTACTTTGCTTAAAATCTCTTGCTCCAGTTAATGTGAAGCATCTCTGTACAGTTTTGATTTCAATGAAAATTGCCTCAAAAAATGCACATAGCTGCAATGGAGTTATGGATTAAACGTAAAATTTGTAGAGAGTCGTACTTTCTCATAAACCACAATACTCTCTGATATGCCTACGTGTAGTACATCTAACACGTGCAACAGCAGACATGCAATGTATGGCAATAATGGAGCTTTAATATATTATATATACGATACTGTATATGTTTAAAAGGTTTCAGCCTATTCCTTCTAAGAAACTATTCAATGAAACACGTACAAGTGTATACAGAATATTAGCTCACACATTGTATTAGTTTAATTATTACAATTATTACAGCATTAGGAAACATTACAGGCTATAAGACTATCTATATCATGTTAGAGAGATCAAAACATAAAAGTTGTCAATAGTCACCTCACCTGATAATTACATTACATTTACCACGCATTTGTCTATCTCAATTTACATAATTTGAAAAGAATTAGAAACTTCAGATCCAATATAAGGACATAGTAAATCTCAAGTTTAGTGAAGCAGTAGTCACCGATGCTGCAAGCAGTCTGCATGTGCTAACACGAGGCGTCGGCCCGCATCATTACGATGATTCAAACATCTCACTCTGCCTGGCGTTAGACGCCACGACTGCCACACATAGTGGCGCCAACATGTCCCGATGCAAAAACACTACACCTGGGCCGCACTTCGTTGTGACCATGCTCTCTATGTTGACATAAATCCGAGTTGGCGTGCCACCACCCACCACACTAGCGCCACATACCGCAAGCGCCTACGTGGCAGCTCCCATGCGTAGCCCTCACCACCACGTCAACACGGCGGACACGATCACCCCGCCACACCACACTGAGCCACTTGCCGACGCTCTGTCTCAACATGCCGCCATTGTTGTTACCCTTGTCACGCCGCAGGTACGAACACTAAAGTGCCCCAACCACACTCCCATCGCACTGTCACTATCGCGCACCTACCGCGCGTGCATTGCTCCTACGCGCCAGCCACTGCGATAAACAATCGCTTAGTGGCCTACTAACAACAACCTGACTGCCCTTGTCACCCCCCACCAGACACCCTCACCAGACGTGTTCTACCTTGGCGCGCCACCACGCCTTAATGCTGCAGCACACCCACCCCCTCACCAGCGCCACTCACCCCTCACAGCGCGTCTACTTGGCGGGTGCACACGCTCTTGAGGTGGCAGCACACACCACCCCCCTCACCAGACGGCAACTCAGCCCCCTACCAGCGCGCTTTCTAATTGCGTGCACCACGCTCTGATGCTTGTGCCATGCACACCCACCCCCCTCTACCAGCGCACTCACCCCCTCAACCGACCGCGATCTACGTGCGCGGTGCCCACGAATCCTCTGTGATGCTATGGCAGCGCACGCCCACTCTCACAGCACGTCATACTTGGCGTTGATGCTGACAGCCACCCCACCCCCTCACCATCCAGTGTCTACTTGCCAATGCACCATGCTCTTGATGCTGGCAGAGGATCTTCCGTCGCATCTTGCAGCCGGCGGCGCGACGATCGCGTCGCGCAGAGGCGCCAAGGATTCAGCTTTGGCTTCTAACGGTTCTAACGACATGCGCCGGACGAGGCAGCGCACCGAGACGGGAGACGAACGCGACAGGGCAGTGCACCGCTTGCGGCTACGCCGCGCGCGGCGCCGCCCGCCGCCGCGCCGCTCCTCGTACGAACGCGAGCCACGAAACCAACGTGGAGACGCTCCTAGACCAGCGCGACGATGGACGACGCCGTCGAAGACGCCGAACAGCGCACGACCGAGATGATTCGGCCTAGCGAATCAGCGCTCGCTCGCCGTCGAACTTTTTAGAGGCGCCGCCGCTCCGCCGCCGTCGCCGCGCAGGCCGGCCCTCTGCGTCGCCAAGAGCCCCATCGCGCGCCGTTCCGTCCGGCGAGTGTGGTCTGCCAGAGCAAACGCCGGAGGGGCACAGTTCACCCCCCAGTTTTCGACGACGACTCCTCGTCCTCCGTTCGCCGCAGTCGCGTCTTCTTCGACACGTCGCTGGGGCGCCGGCGGGCGTCGCCGCCGGGCTGCGAGCAGGCACGGAGTTGAGTAAACATGACGAGAAGCCAGCCGCGAGTCGTCTGTTCGCTGCTTGGGCGTGAGCTGCTCTCGTCAGCTCTGCTGGCCGTGACGAGCATTGTTGGGCACAGTGTCTGACGAGACAGTCTCCACTAAA